GGGGAATCAAGAACCCCATCTTAGGATATGGGGAATAACTTACGTGTGTGTCTGAGTGATGGGTGTTGTGTTCTGTCCTGTTCTGTGTCCTTCCGGCGCGGTCCGCCAATAACAAGAACCCCATCTTTGGATATGGGGAACAACAACAACAACAACAACAACAACCATTTTACCCGAACGCACAGTGTTCTCACCAGTGCCAGGGTTTTCATGCGACGCGAGACAATACCCCCACTTCGTGGGGGGGCAGTTCAAGCTCTACCAAATATCCAAACGACTCTTCGCGACCACCCAAACCCAGCTTCCCGCCCTATGACGTTGGGACACTTCACTTCGTGGCGTGCGGACGACCGTGGCTACTACACTGGCGTGGGGTACACACCCACAGAACTTGGTCACTTATTCGGGGCGCGCGTGTGCCCAGCATCCTGCAATTGTGACATACAATACATGACACAGACAGACAGAGAGAGAGACAGAGAGCAGACAGAGAGAGAGACAGAGAGAGCGGAGTTCTGGCCCCTGGCAGGCGCGCGAACCCCGTTGCAAGAGCGTGCGAATGTAGCTCGCGCGAGCTCATGTAACATAAATGTTGGAAAACCATTGGTTTTTTTAGGATTCGGACAGCGCGCGCGGGTGGAAATTTTGAAAAGTCGTGCAGGTGTTTTTCGAGGACCTACGGTGCGATTCGTGTGATTTTATGATGCGCGGTGCTAAAATTCTTAAAAACCCAATGGTTTTTGGAGATTTCGGCGTGCGCGCGCGAAGAAAAAACGAATGTGTCCCGCATGGTATTATTTGACAGGGATGATGGCCCTGGCAGGTGCGCAACCGTTGTCGCAGAAGTTCGAAAAAGTTGCTCGCAAAAGCCCGTTTGACAGAATTGTTTAAAAAGTGTTGGTTTTCCTACGAATCCGCAAGAGCGCGCGGAAGGACATTTTGACAATTTTTTCTTAAAAAACCATTGGGTTTTTGATGTTTTTATGTTAAAATCGTTACGAAACCTAAGGTTTTGGAAGGATTTCGTCTTGCGCGCACGAATGTCCACTTTACCTTATTTTTTGCAAGGGATTCTTGCAATTTGATCAAGTAAGAACAAGAATTTTCATTTTATAGTGTTTTTTGCAAGGGAAAACGGATTACAACAAAACAACCGGATCCGGTGACAATCCACTTTTCTGAAGCTTTCGCTAGAAAATGAAGGAAATGAGGCTGCGGCCTAGGTTTTGGAGGGGGGTCGCGCACCAGGGGTCTCAACAATAATATTTCTTTAGAAGTAATAATATTCAACAACAACAATTACTAGCACGTGGGGACACTCCGTTCTCACCAGTGCCAGGGTTTTCATAGGAGGCGGGCAATACCCCCACTTTGTGGGGGGGCCGGTTCAAGCTCTACCAAATTTCCAAACGACTCTTCGCCACCACCCACACCCAGCTTCCCGCCCTATGACGTTCGGACACTTCACTTCGTGGCATGCGGACGACCGTGGCTACTATTCAGGGCCCCGCGGCCGACGACGACGGCGTGCGCGCGCGAAGAAAAAACGAATGTGTCCCGCATGGTATTATTTGACAGGGATGATGGCCCTGGCAGGTGCGCAACCGTTGTTGCAGAAGTTCGAAAAAGTTGCTCGCAAAAGCCCGTTTGACAGAAATGTTTAAAAAGTGTTGGGTTTCCTACGAATCCGCAAGAGCGCGCGGGATGAAATTTTGACATTTTTTTTTGAAAAACCATTGGTTTTTTGATGTTTTTATGTTAAAATCGCTACGAAAACTAAGGTTTTGGAAGGATTTCGTCTTGCGCGCGCGAATGTCCACTTTACCTTATTTTTTGCAAGGGATTCTTGAAGTTTGGTTATGTTAGAACAAGAAATGTCATTTTATAGTTTTTTTGCAAGGGAAAGCGGGCGTCAACAAAACAACCGGATCTGGATGACATCGTTTTACCTGAGGCTTCCTCACGAAAATGATGAAAACGTGGCTGCGGCCTAGGCGCGGCGGGGGGGGCGTGCACCAGGGGGCCCAACAATAATTATTCTTTAGAAGTAATAATATTCAACAACAACAACAACAACAACCGCATCATCGCCATCAACATCTACAACATCAGTAGCAACAACAACAGCAACAACACCAACACAAACAACAACCACAGCCATTAACAACAACCACACCAACGCCAGCACCCACAACCAACAACAACAGCAACAACAACAACGACGACAACACCAAACTCAATATCAACATCAACAACACCAACACCACCACCACCACCACCACCACCACAACTAACAACAATAACACACACTGCATAACCTCACTTCAGCCACGCGCCCAAGGACAGTGAACGACTGCTCGGCCCCTCATTCTGATATTACCTATACGACCACCCTTCGGGTGATAAAGAGGTTGGGGGGGGGAGAGGGGGGGAACCGACATCTGACTCGATCGATCTCACTATCGATCTCACTCAGCGGGACACCACGGGGCACCACGGGACACTTGTCGATCTCACGATCGATCTTACTATCGATCTCACTCAATGGGACACCATGGGACACCACGGGCCACCACGGGACACCACGGGACACCGCGGGACACCGCGAGACACCTCTCGATCTCACTATCGGTCTTACTATCGATCTCACTATCGATCTCACTCAACGGGACACCATCGGAAACCACGGGACACCACGGGACACCTCGGGACACCACATCGATCTCACTATCGATCTCACTATCGATCTCACTATCGATTTCACTCAATGGGACACCACAGGACACCACCGGGCACCAGTCGATACCATTATCGATCTCACTATCGATCTCACTTGTTGCGACACCACGGGACACCCCGGGACACTGCGCGGAACCACATCGATCTCAGTATCGATCTCACTATCGATCTCAGTACCGATCTCACTATCGATCTCATGATCGTTCTCACTCAACGGGACACCACGGGACACCACGGGACACCGCGGGAAACCGCGAGCCCCCGTGGGACGGGCGGGCGGGGGAGAATCATTTGTCTTGACTTCGCCCTAGCAACGGCGGACACCACGGGACACCACGGGACACCACGGGACACCGCCGGACACCGCCGGACGGGCGGGAGGGAGAGAATCATCTGTCTTGACTTCGCCCTAGCAATGGCGGACACCACGCGACACTACGGGACACCCCGGGACACCGCGGGACACCGCGGGACACCGCCGGACGGGCGGGAGGGGGAAAATCATCTGTCTTGACTTCGCCCTCGCAACGGCGGGTTTATTCCTCTCGCGCGCCCACGCAGCTTCGCCTCGCCCGCACGCACGACACGAACGAAACAAAACGATTTCCCGCTTGGGGGTCTCCGTTCCACTGCGATCTCACCACCCAAACTCCGATCCGGCGTGCTCTCGAGGCACGAGTTGGAGTGTTCACAGGCTTCTGGGAATACATCTATTCAATGCTGAGGATTCTTTGAAGGGGCCAAGCCGAAACTTGCCAACTCATCTCTGGCGTGTCGCGTGGCCCCTGGGCTGGCCATCGCTCGGACGTCACACGTCCATTCCCCGTGCTTTTTTCTGTTTCGTGCGTGGTTTTTTCGCCAAATGATCAAGGATGGTCCTCGATTGTCCTCGCCGAAGGAAAAAAAGCACACGTCCGAGCGTGGGCCAAGTGGGACTCCACGGCCCTTGTCGCATGGTTTTGGCGGGTCCCGGGAGGTTACGAGCCAAGAGGGTCTCGAGATCTCCCAGAGGCAGTCCACGAGGGCATCGAATCGCCAATCAACTGGCCCCATACGCCCAAGGTGGCCTCCACTCGTCGGTAAGAGCGCACAGAGGTCTCAAGAGGCCTCCGAGAGGATTCCCAAGAGGGCCCCGAGAGGCCAAAACCATTGATTATCCCACAAATATGTTCAATGTGTTTTGGTTTCTCCACTCCTCGAGCTTCCGACGCACCAAGACGCCCCAAGAAGACCCCTAAGACCGCCCCAAAACGGCCCCAGAGGCCCCCAAGAGGGCCACAAGACGGCCCAAGAGGCGCTCAAGACGGCCCAAAAGGAACCCAAGACGGGGTTCAAGAGGTGAGCACGAACCCAAAATTCAGGCCTCACGCCCAAAGGAGCACACCCACGATGCCCCAATAGGTCCCCAAGATTACCACAACAAGCCCCAAAACCCCCCCCCCAAAGGCTTCGGAACTGCCTCCAGGAAGCCCCCGACAAGCCTCGACGAGATCCTGACGAGGCCTCAGACCCACCACCCAGGCACGGTTGCGGGATGAAGCGACGGCCATTACATACACATACATGTCGGCGGTGCCCGGTGCGGAGCGACCCCCCCCCGATCGCTCATCCTGGGGGTTTCGTGCTGGAGGCACCGCCGGTGCGGGCCGGTACGAAACCCCCCGGGACGCACGGAACCCCACTGGCCGCACGGCCGGGGCGGACCCCGGTAAGAACCCCCTCGGGATGCCCCCAACCTTCAGGCCATGAGCGCGTCGAAGCGCCCAGAGAGCGCGCGTGAGCGTCCAGCGGCGGCGGCAGCGGCTGCGGCGTCGGCGGCGTCTGCGACGGCGTCTAGAACCGAAGGTTTCCCCAGAGGGTTCCCGACGTCCTCTGGTTCCTAAATGTTTCTGGACCCGAGGTCTCCTCCCTACTCCATTGCTTCACCGTTCCCCCAGACTCCTCCCCGCTCCACCGCACTTCTCGGCCCGACTCGGCACTCCTCACCGCCCCTCCCGAATCCCCCCCACTCCCACAGGAGCCCCCAACCCCACCACCACATGTGGGGGCCCGCCTGTGCGCCCGGCAAGAAGGCTGCCTGGTACGAAACCCCCTGGGACGGCGGGGGGGGGGTCGTGCCACGGGGCACCGCCGACATACATACACAGAGAAAGTAGCGAGAGGAACAGGTGAACGCAGAGATGACGAAGCGGAAGGTCTGCCGCAGCGAGAAGTCACGCGCCGTCGGCACCGCAGCGGCGCGCTCAAGGGCCCAAGCATCATCACAAGTCGAGGCGCTGCACAGCCGCCGGCCCCTCCGTGTACATCCGCTGGCCACTGCCCCACCTCCCGGCGCGGCCGAAGGACAGATGCTGTCACTTCCTCCACGAGCAGTTGTTACACAGAAGACGCATCTGTTACGAAGACGTACTCCGACCTCCTCCACGAGCAGGTGTGGAACAGAAGACACATGTGATAAGAAATCCTGCTACGCATGAAGAATATTGGGAACGGTTCTCGTCGGCCTGTGAAGGTCCTGAAGCGCCCCAGAGCTTCTGTGGGCCCCTGGGGCCATCGGTGGACCAAGAAGCGTCAGTGGGGCACCAGCTGACAGGCTACCTGCTTATTTGATGTGCCTACTCTACCCCCGCCTCCTCTTTCCATCCCACTCGCCCCTGCACGCGAGGGAGACGGGACGCAGGGGCCACGGGGCAGGGGAGGACAGTGACAAACATCAGATGACTTGGAGGGGGAAGCCTGCGACGCGAGGGACAAGGCCTTCACACAACTCTCCTAGATGACCGCGGACCCTAGAGTCCTCTGGGATCCTGACAATCTGTTACATGCTTCCTGCTTTGCACGCATTTTGTCTATTGCGCAGCAGTGCGGACATGAGTTTCTGGAACCCGCCGACCTCTCGTGGTGTTCCCTGTCAACGTATGTGGAAGCGGTTTCAATGATCTCCACGTCGCGGTCGCATGAGATGTATGGGTTGGCGCGGTCGAACCAGTCGTAAGTGTGCTGCGAGATCCTCTTGTTGCGGTGCGGGCGCCCGAAAGGCCAAGGCACCCGCAAGTTGTCAAAGTCGAACTCGCTCTTCGCATCCTGGAGGCGATCTCTGCCGGCCGAGCCGTCGTTTTGTAGCCCAGGTCAGCTCCACCGCGCGCAGAAAACATCAGGGGGGGACCGGGCGGAACTGGCTCGTCCCACAGGCCAGGCATCGCCGAACAAGACTCGAGGGGCTGCCTCATCGTCCCAGGTTGCGTGGCACGCCCCGATTGCAAACTGTCAGGCCCGGAAATGTCGGGTGGGGGGTAGGGCAATGATTTTACGCACGCCTCTTAGCGTGCGGGGGGGGGTCCTCATCGCAATGCCTCGAATCACCTCTCGCGCGTGTGCCGCGACTGGCAACACCGCTGCATTCCCTGTGGGCCATGGGAGGTCCGCAGCATGCGTGAGTGTAGTGTCGAAGTGTGACCGACGACGAGATGGATCCTGCAGCTGCTGCTTGAACTCGTAGGCGCGGTCGTGGATGTCGAACTCGTCCAGCAGCTGCTGCCTGGGCAAGAGCTCCCCGCCACAAGCGACCAAACGCTCGCCCGAGTAGGCGTCCGTGAAGTGCGTGTTCTGCATTACTGAACCAGACATGATTAACTCGCGCTCCATCTGCTCCTGCATGCATGCGGGCTATGCGCTGGCACTGCGGCTGCGCAGGCCAATGCTGGGCTCAATCTTCGGGCACAGATCCCTCCTAGCCAGGCCAGGAGGGACTGAACGCACATCATCGGCCCAGGATTGCCCTCGCCAACTGCTGTGCCAGTGCATAGACGGTGCCATCATATGCTCCTTCATCGCCTTCAGGCGTTGCTCCTCGTAATATTCAGCCATCCTCCGTGCCTTCACAACGTCGAGCCACTCTCCGTTTGGGCCCTGCACGAAGCGCTCCAGGAATTGCCGCTCCGTGTGGCTGTGTTTAGCTGGGAAGTACATGTAGGAATTACACCTGTTGGGGCCGGGAAAGGTGTCAGCGTGCTCTCCGGCACCCCAGTGGGGCAAACGCTGAAGATGCGGCCCTGAAGAGGGCCGAGAAGTCCCCAGAGGCCTTCCGAAGCAGTTTGAGGCCCAACAGTGGGAACACATGCAAGTAGCCTGACCAACGGCCCAACCTCGTTCAACTGCGCGTAGATCAGGGCATGGCCCTCAACTCCTCAAGTCTTGCGCGCCGCGGGGCAGTGCGGATGAGGGGCGGCGGGGCAGTTGCGAAGAAGCGGGATGACATCCCTCTCGTGCACGATCCGCGTAAGGAGTGTATCGAGATGAGCGCGGGTCCACATGCACCTGCGACCACTGTGACTGTAGGTGGATCTTCTAGGGGGCCACGATCCGCGTGAGAGATCTGCCATGGGCGCAGGCTCGCATGCGAACGCGCCCACTCGGACCGTAGGTGGAGCTTCGCGTGGGGCACGCGAGGAATATGCCGAAGTGGACACGGGCCCGCATGCGAATGCGCCGCCCACTGAGACCGCAGGTCGAGCTCCTCGTGAGGTGGAAGAGAGTGCCGAGATGGGGACGAGGCAGCATCCTTTCGCGTCTACTCAGTTCAAAGGTGCAATTCACTGTGGGGCATGAACCCCGTGAGGGGTGCCGAGATGGGCGCAGGCCCGCATGCGCCTGCGCCCACTGAGACCGAAGGCGGAGCTCAGGGGGGGCACGGTCCGCGCGAGGGGAATGACGAGATGGGCGCGGGCTCGCCTCGCCTCGCGAATGCGCCGCCCGCTGAGACCGCAGGAGGGGCCCTTGAGAAGGGCAAGATCAGCGCGAGGGGCGTGCCGAGTTGGGCGCGGGCCCGCGGGCGCCTGCGCCCACAGGGACAATAGGCGAACGTGCCTGCGGGGTAAGATCCGCGCGAGGTGCACCGGGAGGGGCGCGGGCCCACACGCGTGCGCCCGATGAGGCCGCAGGTGGAGCTCACAGAAAGGCACGGTGCGCGCAGGGGGTGCACAAGGACGGGCGCGGGCCCAGATGCGTCTGCGCCCGCTGGAACCGTGGGTGGAGCTCCCTGTGGGGCACGGTCTGCGTGACGGGTGTGCAGAGATGGGCGGGGGCTCGCGTGCGCGAGCCCGCCGAGACCGTGGAGCTCCCTGTTGGGCACGTTCCGCGTGATGGGCGTGGAGGAATGGACATGCGGAGAGCAGGTGTAGGGAGAGGAGGAAGAGAAGGGGGGGATGAGGTGGGGCGCGGAGCTGCGGAGGAAAAACGATGACCCAACAACACGGGAGCGTCCCGAACAAAGGGCGTAATTAGGGGGGAGCGCGGCGCAGCGAATTCTTGACGAGCACCTCACTCCACGGGAGGGCTGGGGAACACGTGCGGCAAGCGGCGCAACAACGAGACCGACAACAGCATGCAGCAGGCCACGCGGAGGGGGAAGAGGGGAGGGAGGACGCGAGGAGGTGTCAGGTGAGATGCGCGGCACTGCGGATCCAAAACGAGGACCGAACTCCACTAGAGGGCTTGGGGAACAAAGCACGAAGACCAGGCCAGGGCAGAGCGAAACAAATCGATACCTGAATCCCCTGACCATCTCCTGCTGGTTAGGGTCTTGGTCCAGGAGGCTTCAAGATCGCCGTCAAGCCCCAGCAACTGGGAGGGAAAATGGAGCGGGGGGCTGGGTCAGATACACTTCACGCAAGGTGAACCCCCCTTCGACTATGGGGAGGAGGATGGGAGGGTTAAACAGGAAAGCTGCTGGAGAAGGCAGAGTACATCGGCGCATCGAAAGTTTTGGACCGCTTCGTGCTTCCACCAAGACACATCTCAGGAGGATCGCCAATGCGAACTCAAGCTTAAGAAGTGCCGACCTCTATTTTCGAGGAGGTCCTGGGCGGGAGCCTCATTTAGAAATCGAGCCACAGGATGTCGAAATCCAATCTTCAGGAAGTCCTGGGCGAGAGCGCCATTTCGAAATCGGACCAGAAAAGGCTTCGAATTCTAGTTTGGAGGAACTCTTGGGCGAGGGCGCCACTCCAAAATCGAACCCAACAATTTCGAAATCGTTCGAAAGTGTTGTTCGGAGAAGTCTCAAGCGAAACCGTCGTTCGCGATGCGCACGCCGTTTGGCATCTAGAACTGTTCAATGTCTGATCCGAGATTTCGAATGTGTGGTTGTGCTCCAGACTTCCTCCAAACAACGATCTCAACTGGATTTCATAACCATCGGGTTCGAATTCGAAAGGGCGGTTCCGCACGAGACTTGAGCGAAACCATGCTTGCAGAACGCATTGAGCTGGGGCCCCGCGGCCTAACGTGCCCCTTTGACGTCTCCTCTCTTGTCGCGGGCGCAGCGCCGCTGACAACGTTGTACCCAGGCCCCGTCGCCTCACGGGAGGCGCTGCACTGTGGCAAAACTTTTGCAGCGGCCAAGTGGGACCCCAAAGGAGGGTGAGGAAGAGCAGAAGGAAATGGAGGAGTGTGAGCAAGAGGGGAGAAAGAGGTTGAAGAAGACGGAAGAAGGATGGCGAGGATTCATATGTTTCCCCGCTGGGGTGAGGGAGGCTGCCAGCTCAACACACGGAGAAGGGCATGGTTAAACAAGCGCTTTCCACTACTCGCAAAGTGACTACTCGCAAATGGCGAGGATCCGCTGGGGAAGATCTACGAGAAAGTACATCGAAGCAGACATCTGTTTCTCGCACGGTTGCGAGTAGGCACATTGCGAGTAGTGGAACGCGCTCGGTGAATGGTGGGGCAAACCCTTTATTTTCCCCTCCCCGAGCGCCAAGTCTTCTGCGCCACCTGCGGGGAAGGTGCCAGCGAAGCTTCCGGGTCCGGCGTCGCACACAGCTCCGCCCAGCCGAACGTGGCACTGCGCTTGGGAATGCCGCCCACGAACGCGGTCCCGTCCTCGCGCAGGGGCCGCGGCATCTTCACTATGCACCTGCGGATCATCAGCGTAATCATCCGCGCAATCTGTTCTCTCAATCTGGGTGGCTGAGGTGGGGGGCCTGCTTACGTGCCGTGGGAAGTGCGTGAGAGGAGAAGCGGTGAAGCTTCCACGCGCAGGCACTCGACTTGTTCTGACGACGATCAACGTATAGGCCCTGTCTCGTCTCGGAGCGGTGTTAGGCCAACGATGCAGGCGGGCAAACCCATACACACATCGCGCATGCAAGATCGCACCACGCCGAAAACACACAATCGGAATGCACCACGCGCGGGAGCGAAGTATGTCCGTCGAGCCGGTGGCCAATTGGGTGACTTACTCTTCGGCGGTGACAAAGGCTGCAGCCGCATGGGGAACATGAGGAGTGAAGGTGTACCAGACATTGGTTGATCATCGTCACCATCGTCATCGCATATCATCGTCATTCTCCTTATCATTGAGATCCACGGGGTGCTCCCCTCCCTCGCTTCTTCCCAAATTCCTTGGATATCTCGCCCGACCCTACCTGCCCGCCCGTTAGAGCCCCCGACCCCTTCGGATAAGGCCCGCCCGCCCGACCCGACCAGCGAGGATCTGCCGGAGCCGCCCGTGAGATCCTCGACGAAATCCAATCGCTCCGTCCTTTGAAGGAGAGGCAGTATGATAGGGAAACGAACTCTAGACACCGACGTTTTGTCCGACCCTGCGCTGACGTTCGCACGGGAACGCGGATCCTGGTGTATACGGGATCCTGGTGCATACATTTTTCGTCGTTTCCCCGCGAAAGCGGGGAAAAGGTATACACCAGACCACCCCGACGTCGTCCTCGACCCTCGAGAAGCCCTGGGATTGAGAAACAGCCCGCCACTGGTAGTGTATATGTCCCAGTTTCCGACATGATGCCAAAGGTTGCAGGAATGGGTGACGCTTCATGTCCGTGTTGGGCGGGCGGGCGGGGGGGGAGGTGAGAAGAAGAAGGCCTTCTCAGAAGGCGGCGGGACTTCTCAGAAGCCCTCCGAGCCTTCTGAGAAGCTGTCTTTGTCCTCGGGGAAGGCCTGGGACACTCCTCGGAAGGCTCGGGGACCTCCGAGCCTTCTGAGAAGGCCCGCCCCCTCCCGCCGCGCCACCTGGTGTCGGGGGGGGGGGGCGGGCAGGACCGCGCTCCGCCACTGCAGGTCGACTCTAGGGCTCCCAACTTCGCGCTCTCGCGCTCCGCGAAGCGCGAAGCGCGAATCACTTCGCGCTCTCGCGCCGCCCCCCCAAAGGGAGAAAAGGAGGACGAGGAGGAGGGGGAGGAGGAACGAGGACCGCGAAGCGCGAAGCGCGAATAACTTCGCGCCCTCGTGGGAGCCCTTGCTTCCCACCGCGCCACCTGGTGTCGGGGGGGGCGGGCAGGACCGCGCTCCGCCACTGCAGGTCGACTGCTCTTGACCACACCATAACGGGGGCACGAGCAGAGACCACGGCCACGGCACCACCGGGCCACGAGCGCACGCCACGACCAGAGGCCGCGGGCCACGGCCGGAGACCGGGAGAGCTCCAAACCGTACACCACCGCCAGCCCGAAGGATTGCAAAAAAAACCGAAGGATTGCAAAAAAAAACCCAAGAATTGCAAAAAAACCCAAGGATTGCAAAAAAACCGAAGGATTGCAAAAAAAACGAAGGGTTTTTTTGCAATCCTTCGGTTTTTTTTGCAATCCTTCGTTGGGTTTTTTTGCAATCCTTCGGCCAGGCCCGTCCTGGGCCCTGGACTGCTGTACAGGCCTCCCCCGGCCTGGGCCTGGAGGTCTGTACACCAGCTCCTTACCATCCTGGCACATCTCCCTTTCCCTGTGCTGGGCACCTCCTCACCACGATGCCAGTCTCAGGGATTCCCCTATTTTTTGAGGGCGAATCCCTGAGATTGTCGTCGCCTTCTGGCGTGTCAATCTTAGGGATAGGGATACGTTCGAGGCTGGCAAGTCCAGGGCCCAGGATGGACCTGGCCAGGGCTGGTGGCGGTGTGTTGTTGGCGTCTCTTCGAAGAGACTACCGCCGGAGCCAACGGGCCACGACCAGAGACCACGAGCAAGCCACAACCGGAGATCGCGGCACGAGCCCACGGAATGCTGAGTCGGGACCGCGGCATCGCCCGATGAGTCTTCCCAGACTGACACGGGACCCTCTGCGAGGAAGCTGTATCGGGAACGCCGCGTGAAAGACACAAATGGTCACGGGGAAATAAGGGGTGCCTCGCACCAGCCAGGCCCTACATACCCCAGAGAGGGGGAGAAGAGTGATGGAAGAGACGACAACGGTGCGACAGAACAACACATCAGGGTTCGTATGGCAGTGGGCCGAGAAAGTAGGAGGGGGACAAAGACAAACGAGGAGACCGAATCAAGAATCGGGCATTGCAAACCGCAGCCCGCAGGTGGTGGTGGGGTGGAGGGGTGGAGTGAAAGGGAACAAAAACAGGAATTCCCAGAGGCGTTTGTTGGAGGAGGGAGATGAGCCGTCGTCCTCATCCTCCGCCAATCCTCCATCCAATCCTTTCACCTCCATCGAGTCCTGCCCCTCTTCCCTTTCTCCCTCTCTCCGTCCTCCCTCCTCCATTATTCCTCTTTCCCTCTATCCCTCCATTCTCCTCGAACCCTTCCTCCCTGTCTCCCTTCACAATTACTCAACAAACATACATTTTGTGTACGACTTTCGTCGCTACCCTGGACCTGTGCGGAAGGGTTTCAGCCCTCGCCGCGTATTTTTCCACACGAGATATCAAGAGATGGACTGTTACGTGTTTCAAAAAAATATAACTGATGTTGGCGCTTCAAAATGGTGCTCCCGCTGCAGCGTGGGCCTCATTGTCGAATCGGCGCTGCAATCCCATCGTTCAGAATGGCTCAATCGCCCCAGCGTGGGGCCACTTTTCTGGATCCGAATTCTGTTTCATCGTTGTCGCCCCCCTCATTTCCCGTCCTTCTGCTTCCGCTCCTCCCGAACCTTCCACTCCCTATCTTGCTGCGGCTGTTCATCCTCGTCCTCCTCCTTCCTCATCCTCCTCCTCATCTTCCATCTGTTCATCCTCCTGCTCATCCGCCAGGCAGTGAGGGAGTGATCGGATGTCAGATGTGGCACGCGCGCACCAAGCTTGATGTACATACTATTCTCCTCTCTTCCCTGACTCTGTCCGGAATATGTCTCCCTCCTCTGTCCCCTTACTCGGTCCAGAAGGCGCTGGTGTTGGATAAATGTGATTTGTCTTACGTGTTTGTGTCGATCCGGTTGTTTTGCTGCTTCAAGACGGTGTTCCAGCTGCAGCACGGGCCTCATTCTCGAATCGGAAAGTTGTTCCCGTCGTTCAGAATGTCCCCCTCGCAACAGCGTGGGCCACTTTTCTGGATCCCTTTTCCATCGTTGTTGCCTCCCCCTCCATTTCCCATCCTCCGCGGTCCCTTTGTCCTCCAACTCCTCCCGCCCATTCTACTCCAGCTCCTGCTGCTGCTGGTCGGCCCTCGTCCTCCTCGCATAGCATCAACCTCGCCTTACTCCTGCGAATCCTCCTGCTCCAATGAAAGCAGCTCTTGTTTTTTTCTGATTTCGCATAACACGGCGGCGTCGGATTGCAAAAAAAACCCAGGATTGCAAAAAAACCCAGGATTGCAAAAAAACCCTGGGATTTGCAATCCTTCGGTTTTTTTTGCAATCCTTTGCAATCCTTTGCAATCCTTCGGTTTTTTTGCAATCCTCTGGAGTTCCAGGAGCGCTATGACGCGCGTCGGCGGACAGAGAGGACAGAATGGCGCAGTGGGTAGGGATGGGCAAGGGTTTTGCGCGAGACGAAGGATTGCAAAAAAACCGAAGGATTGCAAAAAAACCGAAGGATTGCAAAAAAAACCGAACGAAGGATTGCAAAAAAACCCAGGGTTTTTTTGCAATCCTTCGTTTTTTTTGCAATCCTTCGTGCTAGCTTGTCCCTCGCCGCTCCCTCGGATGTTGCTAGCTTTGTGGATGCCACGACAATGGACACCCGAACATCCCTCCCATCGAATTTACACGGTGTTTAAGATGTCGGAGAAACGGTCTAAACATGTTTCGGGTTTGCGCTTCGCATGCTTAAAACATGTGTAACACATGTTTCAGACATCTGGAAATTATTTGGCAACGTGCTTCCTCTCCAGTGATCGTCCTCCACAACGCTAGCTGCTAGAAGTGCCCCTTGGCCCAAGGTCCAAGGAGGCTCTCACGGCCTCCAGAGCACCCCTGCCGAGGCCCCGAGGGCACCAGGGGCTCCAGAATGGAGCGACGAGCTGGGGGCACCCTGGGCCAGGGGCACCTTTAACAACCCCCGACTCCCTCCTGTCCCCCCACCCCTCCTAAGCCTGTCTCTCCCTTTGGAGGCCTGGAAATTGGCACCAACACCAGCACAAGGGGGTTGCCTCCACATGGGGAAGACGATCCTAGATTCCGGTGCTGATGGTAATATATCGGTCACCTTGGAAGCCAGAATGTTACCACCATCACCGAGATCGGAATCTTCTTCCCCCGGTGGAGGCACACCTCCGAACGTGGTGTCGGTGTCAAGCTCTGGGCCTGAGATCCCTGGGAGCGGCAGCGGGAGGGACGAGGAGGCAGCGAGCAGCTCGACGCCACGAGCCTGGCCGCGCCGCTGCTGCCCCCGTGCTGCGGGAACTGTGCGTACGGGCCCACCGGCGCGCCCCCGCAGGGCTGCGCGGAGCCGACCGGCCTGCCCGCCTGGTCGAAGCTCACCTGGGGCGACGAGGGGAGAAGCCAGGGAACCGCCTGTGGGAAAAAACACACACAGACTGTGTGTTTGTGTGTGTTGGTCCAACAGACTGTGTGTTTGTGTGTTTCTGTCCCACAGACTGCGTGTTTGTGTGTATTTTTGCCAGGGAAGCGCGCTCTATACACCGACGCGTTTGCGCGGCCCTGCACGGACCTCTTGCGCAAGGAAGCGGAGCCTGGTGTGTACGGGGCCCTGGTGTATACATGTTCCAATGTTTCCTGGGAAGGTGGGGAAACAAGTATACCCTACACCACTCCGACGTCGTCCCCGACCCTCAAAAAGTCCTGGGATTGGAAGACGGCCCGCCACTGGTAATGTACAGGCTCCAGTTTCCGAGAACCGGGTCTGACGCACGGTGTCACACACACACACACACACCCTAGCTGCTACTGGTACTGCAAGGGGCACTCCTTCAGGAACGAGTCCCCTTTTGGCCCCGGGAGCGCCTGGATGGATGGTGCGCCATGGAAGAGCAGCCACGGGAGAACCGACGGAACAGCGGGCTGCTCCCAAACCCAAGCTGTTCCTCATTTCAGCGTCTTGGCTGTAGCAGCCTTGCGCCGCGGTTTCCACGGGTCGCCAGCGCGGCACGCTGCATTGGAAACGAGGATGCCCGCGCGCCACCTCATGCAGGCAGCGTAGGCGCGAAAGTTAGCGCAGCCTTATCTCTATTTTTTCTGCGCCGCCTGGAACGACGAAGTCGCCATTCCTGGAGGTTCTCCCGGGGGGCTCCTGGGATCCGAGCCAGTCAATAAAACGACCGGGATCCGAGCCAGTAAATAACCATTGCGAGCCCCGCAATGTTGCATTGATGAACCGTACTGTGACCAAAGAACCCCCAAAGACCTCACCTGGCGGTCAGATTCGGGACCCTGGAGGCCCCAGTCGCCCGAGACGTCCTCTTGACCGCAAGCAGGGGTGACCTTTGGTGCGCGGCTGTCGGAGGCCGCGGGGAGGCCAAATCCAGGAGGCCCCTGCCCTAGCGCCCCCGCGCCTTTCAGCTCCGAGAGCTGCGTCGGGCCGTCGCGAGGGGGAGGCAGGCGGGGCGCGCCCCCCAGGGGGCCTTTCGAACCACCACCCCCGGGTGGCCAACGAGCCAGGCACGGGCAGCGACAAGCCCTGCTGGGACCCGTTGGCCGACTGCGGGTAGGCCGACTGCGGGTAGGCCGGCTGCGGGCAGCCCGGCTGCGGGTAGCCCAACTGCGAGCTCGCCGACTGCGGGTAGGCTGGCTGCGGGTAGGCTGCGTCGTGTGGTGAGGGGGGCGCCTGCGTCAGCCCAGCCGTCAGCATTGAATTCTGCAAAGCGTGCCCGAGTGAGATCCGCGACGGACCCTGGCGCGCGCTTGCCTTCAGAGAGGCGCGATACGAAGGAGCCTGTTCTGGCGCGGTATGGAGGTGCTGGGTCCACTGGGTCAGGAGCCGAGCTTGGGCAACAGTGGCAATAGAACCGTCCCTCACTCACACCCCAACATGACTGCAACCTACCGCGAGACTCCAGGTCCCAAATTTTGGAGCTCTCTGTTTTTCATTTGACGTTTTTCATTTGACGCTGCGAACTGAGAGCCCTGCGTCAGGGCAACCGTTTCCTGCCGCTGTTCCTCACATCCACTATTCCTGTCCGGTTCCTTCTGCTCCTCCGAACTCCCTCTTATCCCTCATCCTCCAGGAGGGACGACGGCCAGGAGTGAATTGGAGATTCTGGAGCGCCGCGCAATCTCTGTCAAGGAGGGCGCCAACAAGAATCCTGTCAAAGTGAGACCCATGGGCTGCGCCGGCTGTCAAAGTGAGACCCATGGGAACGCAGACAACGCAGGCGCCTGCACGAAAGCCAGCGGGCGCCCCCGAGTCTACCTAAGGCGGCACCCGAGACTCCCAAGAGGAGCCGAAGAGGCCTCCCAGACAGCACCAACAGTGGCCCCAAATACCCGATATTGCGAGACCGTTGGAAGTCTGCCCTCCAGGATGGATGCAAGACCCCGCAGGGGGTCCCCGAGAGGCGAGAAGGAGGAGGAGGAAGAGGATGCAAGGAAAGGAGGGGGGAGGAGGGGGGAGGAGGGAGGAGGAGGAGGAGGAGGAGGAGGAGGAGGAGGAGGAGGAGGAGGAGGAGGAGGAGGAGGAGGAGGAGGAGGAGGCGGAGGAGGAGGAGGAGGAGGACCCCCCCAGAGGCTTCGAAAGCCCCAAGCCGGCCCCGAGGGAGGCCTCGAGCTGCCCCCATCCCGGGATGCCGCAGTGCCCCCGACCATGGGCCCACCGCGATTCGCGCCCACGGCCCGGGAGCGGTGGCAGGCCTGCCGACCCACCACCCCCACAGCCACGGCCGAACGCGTGCGTGACAGCAGGGCTGAACCTAAACGGTGTTTTTCGTTTCCGTTTTGCTTCCGCTTCCCCTCGCTCTCGTCTCGAATCCACCTTTCCCGCAGAACGAGGTCGAAACGAAAACGGCCCACGACATCACCAAAAACGCCGTTTAGGTCCAGCCCTGTGTGACAGCCCCTCCCTCTTCGACAGTGCCCCGCCCGCCCGCGAGGGCCCGCCCGCCCGCTTGTCCGCCACCCTGGTCGGGCCCGCCCGTCCGCCCAACAGGATCTGCCCACCCGCTCGCGTGCAGGCCCGCCCGATTGAACGTCCCGCCTCCCCGTTGGGGCCAGCCCCCCCCCCCCCCAACGAATGTTGCAGGCCGGCGGCCGCCCGCTTGCGTCCGCCCGCCCGTGGGGGCACGAGGCGAAGGTTTTCCAGGAAGCAACCAGCCGAGGAGTCGGCCACGCCCCGCCGAAGATGCTGGAAAGCAACCTTCAAGGGGACGTAAGACCTGGGTAGAGGGGACTCGGAAATTCCCGACGAGGTCGTCAAAAAAATGACGAGGCCGAGCCTGTATTTTGACGAGGCCTCCCGCTGCAGACATCCCACGAAACTCCTGCTCGTCAAAATCCGAGGCGCGGTCGTCAAAAAACAATGGCGAACCCGAGTCCTGGCAAACCCGGGTCTTACGCTCCCCCGAAACCTCTGACCGTGGCGACGAGGGCCCCCCCAAGACGTGGGTTCTCCAGCGAGGCTGCGGGCACGCCCGAACGGCCAGGGACGATGTAGGGCCCAGATCTCCCCGGAGGCCACCGGCCGAGGTCTGGTCCTGCCCCGCCGAAGATGCTCGAAAAAGAAGCCTCCTGGGTGGTTCGGAGTAGTGATACATCGGCGATGCATCGGTGATGCACAGGCGATGCACCATCGACGTCGGAGATGCATGGGTGACGTCGACGAACATCGAGCCGCATCGGCGATGCATCGGCGATGCGGCGCGATCCCTGGACCCCATCTACTCCGACCCCATCTAGGAGGCCCAGACGACAGCCACCTCTTGCCATAGCCACGAGGGCCCTCCGAAGAAGACGAAGACGAGGGCCTTGTCAAAAGCCACCGCCACCACCGACGACGACGAAGACGACGAGGTGCTCCCGTCGTGGTTCTCCAGCGAAGCTGGGGGGGCCAAAGTAACGCCCAGGGCCTCCGAGGGCGAGCGAGGCCCAGTCTCCCCAGAGGCAACCGGCCGAGGGTCGTCCCTGCCCCGCCGGATATGATCGAAAAACACCTCTGGCCGCTGCCGACGACGACGACGACGACGACGGCGAGGTGCCCCCGTCGGGGTTCTCTGGCGAGCCTGTGGGACATCCCAGGCCTCCGAGGGCGAGCGAGGCCCGCGTACTCCCCGGAGACGACCGGCCGAGGGGTCGGCCCTGCCTCCCCCCGAAGATGGTCGGAGGCCACCTCTGGCCGCGGCGACGAGGGCCCGCTCGGTCGCGCAGAAGCTCCCGTTGCCGCCTCCTCTTCTTCCTCCGCCGCCTCCTCCTCCCTTCTCCTCCTCCTCCTCCCCCTCCTCCGCTCGATCGACCTCCTGCTCCACTGGATCCTGCGCCTGCTCCTCCTCCACTCGATCGAGCCGCTGCTGCTCCTCATCCTCTTCACCTCCCCATCTCACCCTGCCGCACACTCCACCATTTTCTCCTCCTGTTCCACCCTGCTCTCTTTCTCCTCCTGCACCTCCTCCGCCTCCTCATTCTCCTCCTCCTCCTCCTCGTCTCTCCTCCTGCGCCTCCTCCTCCTCCTCCTCCTCCTCCTTCTCTCCCTCATCCTCAGTATCACCATCATCATCACATCATCATCATCATCATCATCATCATCATCATCATCATCATCATCATCATCATCATCATCATCATCGTCAGCAGCAGCAGCGGCATCATCATCATCACCATCATCATCATCATCAACAGCATCATCCTTTTCCTCGCCCTCCTCCGTCTTGCTCTCCTCCGCTCTCAGTTCTCCCTTCTTCCTCCTGCTCATGCGCCTCCTTCTCTAAGGTTGAGCGAACTCGAGGTGATGGCCTGCAGCGTTCGTGTCATGCGCATCCTCCTTCTCCTCTTCGCCGCCTTGAACCCCCGCCCCATGGGTGCGAGCGGTGCGTCCACTTGGGCGCCCAGGGGTGTGCCCAAACATAGTTTCGCATGCCATGCTGTGTCCGATCATGTTTTCGTATGCCTCGAGTTGCATTGGTTGCGTATCGACCGCGCGCAGCAGCTACGAATCCCCAGCGGCCCTTGGCCGGCCGCTCGGAAAGGCCAACAGCCACGTCATTTGAACACTGTCATGCTTCCAGTGGTCAGACCCATGAGAACATAATGCTAGCCTCAACCTCCGCCTCCTCCTCCGCAAGCTGGTGCTAGGCGGACCGGTCCTCGACTAACTGGTCCTCCGCGAACCAGTCCGCCGCCGAACAGGCTTTGAGCGAACCGCTCATTCGGAGAGCGGGGCCTTTAGGAAATCGGTCCTCGGAGAATCGATTCTTGACGAATCGGTCCTTCGGCGAACCCGTTCGGGCGAACCACGCCTTCAGCGAACAAGTCCCGTGCCGCAGGAGGGAGGGCGGGGACGCGGGGGAGGGGTGAATGAGGGAGGCGGAAGCTGGGAGGAGGGAGGGAGATGAGGATGAATGGGTCTCGCGCTCTCGTGGGCTGTCTCGGGGCACTCTTGGACAATTTCGGGGCGCCTGCGCCTCCCCTCTTTCCCTCAAACATTCCAACTCTTGTTCCCCCATCAACGGGTGGCTGGCTGCATCAGGCGGAGGCGGAGGAAGGGAAGTGGAGGAACCGATGGCGTAGGGGAGGCTGACATCCACCTCCTCCTGTGCCTCTTCCCCCTCCTCCACCTCGCCTTCCCCCTCCCCCCTCGTTGCCGTCGTCGTCGTCGAAATGGTCGTCGTCGTCGTCCCACTCCTCCTGTCTGGGGGGGGACCAAAAGAGATACCAATGCCGCAACTCCACAGACTTCTCCGGGGGCGCGCTCTGACCCGAGTTTCGAGGAGGACCCGGCCGTGGCGGCTAGGGCTGGGCAGGATGCCCCAAAAATCACAGCGGGGCGAGGGCAGCGGCATCTCCTGCTCACCCCTGACGAGGATTGCCCCAGCGGGAGGATGCCCAATTCCTCCTCCGACTCTTCCTACCCATCCTCCTGCTCACCCCTCTCGAGGATTGACATATGGCAACGAAATCTGTACATATCCACTGCTCCCTGGTCAGGCCCATCCTGATCCCAACAGCGGTGTATACGCCGCGCCCTCCAGGCTTGGCCAGGAAGGTGTATACACAGCTCCTGGGCCCAGGAAGGGCCCTGCCAGGGGGCAGTGGATGTGTAGAAATGTCGTCGCCCAGTGACAGAACACCCTTTAGCAAGACGCCCCTTAGTGAGAACTTCCAGGGACACTTCACGTGCGCACGGCACGGCATTCCGAGTGGACCTGGGCAGGGTGGCTCATCGACGTTGGAAAGCAAGCGAGTGGATCAGGCAAAACGCACCTCGCTACGCGAAATCGACGGGGCAGGGGACAGCATCAGCACCCTCGTATGCCAGTGTCGAGTGAAATCGAGCAGATGTCCTCAGTCGACTTGCCTGGGCGTGTCCTCTCAATGCCCGACCCTCCTCCCCCTCAGCCGTGGGTCGGGCGTGTCCACCTACAGGGGGATTTTGGACGAAAAAAGAAAATAGACCAAACATGCCCCCAAATGGTCAAACAAATAAGCAAAAACAAGTCCCCATACGATTTGTTTGACTATTGTTGAATACTCCTCCTGTCAAGCAGGGTCGTTTTCGTTTTGTTTTCGTTTTCCCCCGCATGTTTCTCGAATCCACCTTTACCGCAAAACGAAGTCGAAACGAAAACGGCGCACGAAATCGCCAAAAACACCGCTTAGGTCCAGCCCCGCTGTAGAGGGACATGCCCGACTTAACCCCAGCCGGCC